GTAGTGCGATCTCTGTATCTTATATTTTCATTACATATACTTACATGGAAATACCATTCTGAAAAGGCCATTGATAAAAAATGCTAACACCCACTAACACCCACTAGCACCTATAAACTATAGGTTCTAAGCTTGTTGTCTTATATAACTTGAATCTCAAATAGTGATATCGATCTTCTTTATTTTTTGGGTCAATTTTAGGAGACAAAGGTCAAGGTTGATAGTAAACCTTGACCTTTGTCTCCTAAAACTGACCCAAAAAAAACAAAGAAGATCGATATCACTATTTGAGATTCAAATTATATAAGACAACAAGCTTAGAACCTATAGTTTATAGGTGCTAGTGGGTGTTAGTGGCTATTAGTGTCGTGTTAATTTGGTGTTAGTGGGTGTTAGTGTCCTTTGAGGGTTTCTCTAATTTTCTTAAGTCATTAACTTATTGGGTGTTAGTAGATGTTTGTAGAGTTATGGCGTCGAGCTCTGTGTTTTGTTATACTCATTTGGGTGTTAGTGGGTGTTAGAATTTTTTATTAATGACCCTCTGAAAGAGGATCTTCTCTTATGAACATCCAAATTATGGGTATCTCTCCTTGATGCATGCAAGATTTTCAGTAGTTTCATTTGTTCATATATTGTCGTCTTGTCTACCTTATTTCTAATTCATAGCTTGATATGACAGTTCTGATTTGAGCTCAATCCAAAGAACAATTATTCTATCCATAAGATTGTGTCGTTGATAATTGTCGTAGGATCAGCCAGCATCAACGGGTGATAATACGGACACAGAAATCGACGCACCACTGGTACGAAAGGTTACCAAGCATGAGATTGCTGCTAATATCTATCTCTTCAGTGAGTAATTTGTATTCTTCTTAATAATCATTTTTTCCGATCTATTCATTTCTAGTGATTGCTGGCTATGAAACAACAAGCACTGCACTAGCTTATGTTTCTTATGTTCTTGCGACTCATCCAGATGAACAACTCAAATTGCAAGAGCATATTGATACTTATTTCAATCCGGATACAGATAATGAAATTCCGAGCTATGAAATGATTTCGAAAATGGACTATTTAGATATGTTCATCCGAGAAACTCTTCGTATGTACCCAATTATACCAGCTGTCATTAATCGACAGAGCACCAAAGATTTTCAGATCGAGAATATTGGAACCATTCCTGCTGGTACTATTGTCAGTATTGATATGTACACCTTACATTTTGATCCTGATCTTTGGGGTCCAGTCGATCCGAATACATTCTATCCGGAACGATTTGCTACAAAACGTCATCCACTCGCATGGATTCCATTTGGTATTGGACCACGAAGTTGTGTTGGCATGCGATTTGCAATGATGGAAATGAAATTAGTTCTCGCATGCTTGCTGAAAACCTATTCAATTATTGATTGTGGTGAGCAAACATATCAAGCAACTGATCAACTTGAAGAAACAGCTGTTATTTCACCAAAAAATATCATCATCCGTCTGCAACGTCGCGATGAAAAAACGGTGTGAATTATTTTAATATGTACTGCTTTTTTTTTTCATTTATTCGTCTTCATAAAAGAGAAGTCTTTCAAGTAAATATTAAAATCACAGTTTCTAAGATAAATAAGCTACTGCGATGCACATTCACCTATTTTAATGCTAAAGTGAGATGATATTGTGACGCCGAACCAAACAAAGTACAAAAAATGAGGGTCTGATCCATACCAGTTTTTCGGCTTACAAGTGTGAATAATAGGTTTATGTCTCAAAATATAGCTTCTTTATCATTAGCCTTTCAATGCATATTTTAGTCACTGTGAGAGTGTGGGTGTG